CAAAACTCCACACTTTCATCGCATTTGCTTAGAAGCAGATAAATATATCGAACTAGGTTAGTGCATAACCTGCGTTTTATACATTCCTGTACAAAGCTATGGTCATACTCTGATCATGTATAAAGTGGAATGATGCCAATATTTCTTACAATAACCTACTCTATTGCGACAATGTCAACAATCTCCATGAAATTTAGAACTCACTTTTAAATTATTGTTTAAAAATGTTACGAAGACATGATATCACACAAAACAAGACAGTGAAAATTTAAGAATAAGTATTATGACCACAGACAAACAGGTGAACCATGCTTGCTATTAAAATATTTTCTATGGAGACTGTTGAATACTAACCGTCAACCACAATGCTATGATTGAAGTCCGGAACTTTGGAGGTCAGTGTGTAAGTCCGAGAAGCAATAAATCCAGCTGAAATAACATAAAACAGACTGCAGCATCTATGTTTGCGTCTAGCTTTTTACCTTTAACTAAACTAAATACTAAATAACTTACTATCCGACGTCATACTAATACGTCGTGAAAGATTGCATAAGATGGTGCGGAAAATCTAACTCGTTTAACTATGTTGACGTTTTTCAGCGACTAATGGATTAACTGTTGGCTGTTGGGCACAAATAAGGAATTTAGTCACCAATGCAAACAAATGCTTAACTTTCTGTACCCAAATATATTACAGCACAACGAATGTAAACAAGAGATATTAGTCGCTGAAATAGCATAAATAAAATGTCGATGGTTATATACTAGAATTACTACTCTCCTACTGAATATACTCTACTACTGTTTAGCTTACTATCAGCATAAATATATAAACACAAGAGAATCTACTTACTAAACGGTAACCAAAATATGTCATCTAGAATGTGGTTTGCAGTCATCCGCTAGTGATACAGCAATCAGTTTTCTTTTTTTGATGCTATAGCTTGTGAATCATTGTCGGTGATTTAATCAAAATGATGAGCCACTAGTGGCAAATGGGCTGCCGTGCGGATGTCTCGATATTGCCCATATTTTCAATTTTGATATTAATGATGGTTAGTGGCTAGCAGCATAATCCAGGAAGAGCCATTCGTCTTATTTGAGACTAGTTCACTGGATTTACCAGCTTCGCAGTGAGTGATATGTCCACCCAACCCAGAATTAATCGCTTCAAGCTTAAGAATGGAGACTCATCACCTACAATTAAAAAAACTGCACTGTTTTTGTCACATATGAGGTGACTTTCAGAACTCATTAGCCTATCGGATAAGCTTTTAGCGCTTGAAGCGACTGGTTCTACGTTCTCGTCCTAACGGGAACAACACCAGTCTCTGGGAGGCAGATACATAGGGTTGACTAGTCTCAAATAGGACGAGATGCACGTACTGAACTCCAATGCTAGCGCCTATCTGTCACCACTTCCTTTTTTAGAAGTTCTTCGACATGATTGTATGATATCCACTATTAGAACGCCTGTTGTTCAAGTAATCGGAATTAAATATATCTACATTATAGGTTCATTGCTGACTTCACACAAGGATGATATTTAAAGCTCTCTTAACAAATTTCACCTTTAGAATGTAAACCTCGAACAGTATTCCTGAAGTGTAAGCTGTGATTACTTATTGACTCTGTTTTAGAGTTTGCTTTGGATCAGGTTAGCTCATAGATCAGTTACCTGAGAACTCTATGATTTGTTTTGGTTAAATAACTAATAATTCTTTATGATAAATCATAAAATCAAACTCTGAAGATGGATTTCATTTCCTACTTAAAAAATAGAGCAACACACGCTGATGATTAGTCAGTGCATTTTTAAGTCAAGAAAAACTTTATATTTAAGGTAACCTTCATTGCGGACTGACATCAGTTGTAGAAATAGTGAAAACCTGGGTGCGCTGGACACCCGTTTCGTCCTAGTATGCTACACCTCACTAGTACGCACCCACGACCCGGCTAGGTTTTCAATGATTCTTCAACTGATGTCACTCCGTGATCAATGCTATCTTAAACATAAAGTCCCCATAAACCTCAAATTAAATTACTGCATAGTATTAATTAGTGACATGCTTCTAGATGGATATCCTGGAAGTCTAATGAGAAGCCATGATCCAATCGATAGTCGCGCTACATCACGAATTGACAGGAGCTAGAAACTGTGAACGAATGAACTCCTACCCAGTGGCTAAATGAATAATGCATTCGCCGTGAAACCCGAAAGTCCTAAGCTTGATTCATAGCGGATGGGGCAAATCAGTCGGCTGTGAAGACAGAGAGTTCAGAATTCCACCACAAATTGTTTAGAATAAAGTGAATTATTATTACTATTGAAAATACCCAACGATGATATTAGGTGATGGTCGCGCTATATCCTGAACTGACAGAAGTTGGAAATATGTACCACTGGATTCCTGCCCAATGGTTCAACAGTAAAGGAACCTGAAGACAGCGGGCTAGATCCCTGGTGAGGTCATGGTTGCGTACTGCGGAGGAGTCTCATGCTAGAACCAAACAGTTGTTCAGTGTTCCCAGGTTTTCAATGTTCATCCAGCTGATGTCAATCCATGATGGAGAATTTCCTTTCGATGCAAAGTTACAGGAAATCTTGTCCGTTACATGCGGTGCGTTAAACTGAACTTCCACAATCAAATCAGCGATTCAATTACTACTTCTTGTACCTGATGAAATAAGTTTTCGATCATGATATTGCAATGATAGGACAGTCCAAAAAAAAATGGAAAAGATAATAAACTATAGTTCTGTTGAGTGACTTCTGAATAGATGTGTTTAAGTTTTCGTTAGTCAGTCAGTAAAAAAACTGTTCCTCGATATAGTATAAAACTAGCCTAGTATATTTTTGAAAAACAGAATGATTATTCACTTTGTTATACAGTAAGTGGTGACTTATTGTCTGAGTCTCCGACCTAAAGGATATATGACTTTCTAGCAGCTAACAACAACACCTCTGTTACTGCACTTTGTGAAGTACAAATCGAACTTAGTGGTTATTTAAGGGTCTGTTGTGGATAAACTATAGTCTATTTCCTTGCTATCGAAAGAACACTAATATTACTTGAGATTTGTCTCCGTGATAGTTGATGCAGCACCTAAGGGTGCTCGCCATTTAAACTGCTTAATTCAAGCTTTCTTGCTTTATCACAAATGTTCACTTCATAATGCAATGTTACACTTTCGACACTACAGCCAAGAAATGAGTCTGAAACGAAGATCTAATGGCGAATAAATAACAACTTTAGTCCCCATCAAATCCTATTAGTACATTTTTACGTTTTTCACCATTGGGGTACTCGATATACTTTTCAGATATAATTAGGATAAGCTTGTAAATTAAAATGGTCCTATTAAATACACACGCAGAGACAACAGTAGACATGCTCACATCACCACTGCAGAACGTTTGGAAGAAAGGAAGGAAGGACAGATACCTGACGATCAATTGGAAGGAGGGCTACCCCTTGTCAAACTCTCAAACAAGGGCGACCTACGTTTCGCAAAACAGGAACTGGTGCGGAATCATGCTGCTGTCCACCCATAGCAAGCAAAATATTGTGCAGCATCATCATGGAGAGACTAGAACGAAAATGCTCTGGATTGAAAATATGACTGGAACAGACTGGTTGGCTGGCTGACTGGCTGGCTGGCTTCAGGAAGAACAAATCATGTGTGGATCAAATTGCAACGCTACGCTACACATCATCATAGAACAGAGCATAGAATGGCAGTCAACTGAATCTTTTCCTCAACTCCATCGACTTTGAAAAGGCCTTCGACAGCGTCGACTGAGAAGGAATTTGACAGGCAGCTGCTTCAAAACTACGCTCTTAGTGCCGCAAACCTTTTTCAATCTCGTTCAACAACTATGTGCTATATGATATCACATGCCTAGTGATTCACAATGGAGAGCTCAGTGACGCCTTTCAGGTGAAGGCATGAGTTAGGTGAGGTTGCCACCTACTGTCACCAACAATCTTCCTGATTGTGGTCGACTGAGCTGGATCATACAGCAAACCATGAGGAGCGAGAAGATGGCCATACACTGACCAGACCTCAGAAGAAGATTTGGATTTCGCCGATGATGATGATGATGATTTATGTCTAATGTCTTGTGGTACAAACTCGAAAATCTACAGGCGACAACTAACAAGTTGACAGAAGAGACGAGGCGAGGCAGCGAAGACTGGAATTCAAGTGAATGTAGAGAAGATGGAGGTGATGGAGATACCCAACCAACGACAACATCAACAACGACAACGACCACAAGAAGCACCAATCACCATGAACGGGAGGAATCGAAAGGAAGTAGTCTCTTTCACCTACCTAGACAAGGAAGGCAACATTGTTCCAACTACAGGCAGCGGTACAGACACAGATGAGAACGTCAAAGCCAACCAGGATCGGGAAGACAGCAAGACAGGCGTTCATTAACCTGAAATCAGTATGGATACCTACTGCATTCTACTACACTCAGTATGAAGCGTGAACGAGATCCGGATTTTCAGCGCCAATGTCAAGTGAGTGCTTCTATATGTTTCAGAAACTTGGGTCGTCACGAAAAGCATTTCCAACAAACTACAGACATTCATCATCAATAGCTGCTAACTACACTCACTCGATACTGAAGATCAGATGGATTGCCAGAATAATAAGAATAAGCAACAAGCATCTCACTGTGGCTGGCTTGCTGGCTGGTTGGCTGGCTGTCAGTGAACCAACCAAGAACCGATAGTCCAACGAATATGCAGAAGAACGTGGAGATGAATTGAGACTAGGCGTACACTGAGTAGGCCAAGTGGACACATCGCGGGCCATGTCAGGCCCTTGAGTGAAATCGAAACGGGAATCTACGATTTGGGTGTCTGTGACGAGCGAGGGTGACATGAAGGAAATCATGTGGCAGTCATGGAGCCCTGTTGAAAAGACTGGAGAGAAGAGAGTGAAATGGCGACGTGCTGCTGCCGCCCTATGTTCCAGTAGGGACCCGCTGGAAAAATAAGGAAATATAATACTAACCCCATCGAGCTTGAGACCCACGAGGCTTGATAACAGAGAAATTTTGCCGGTTTTTGCATCAACAGGAACGCAAGTTAACGAAGCCTCAGCACTCTCATCAGAATTTTAATTTGAATTTTTTTTCGAGAACGGATCAGAATGCACTGAAGTCTTTTGCACCTCTCACAAAAAAGGAACGGCGCTGTTTTTCATAAGCTGTGACACTACTGAAGGATGTGGTGCATTGAATTTTGTCGAACTAATGTACACTGTAAGTAGCTTGGTTCCACCTAAAAGAAAGTCTTGTTGTCCAGAGTTATTGACGTTTCTCTCGCTAATCTGTAGATGCATAATGAACATAAGTTTTCTGAAACGTAGAAATATTTATTCTTTCGTACTGCCAGCTTATTTTTAAACTGTATTATACTTCCTTCATCATTTTGATTATCTTATTCAAAAATCAAAGTCCACGATAAAACTTATAAAATGTTTCAAAGATTTCATTCACACTTTACAACAAATATCTCCTTTGTTGAGAAGCAACGTGAATAGTCATTTGAAAAATGCATTATAAACATTTACCATAACTTATAAACACCTACACTTAACTGCGAATACACTTCAGTAATAGGCTTAAATCTTGTCATCTACACACTTAAAAGTTAATTACTGTTTTATAGTGTTCCCATCATTTCTCAGGTTTCCATGGTGGCATATTACAACCTTAAACTTTCACAAGATTCTTCTGCGCTGTGGAAACATCTTTATAAATGGATTCTTGAAGAAGATTCTAAAAACGTCGACAGTTAAGTACATTGACTCATAAAATATGTTTAAAAAGGTTTACTTGTATTTTTGATTCCTGAAGCAAACATTCGTAAGTGAGTGAAACATTTGAACAGAAATTCTTATACATATAGCGAAAAAAGCACAGCTGGCATCAAGTAACTACTTTGCTAGAAAAATGAACTCATATATGATCATCTGAAAAAGTGATATATTGGCAGTGAAATACAACTTTTCAAAAAACTTCAGTTCTATAACAAAACAATGTCTCACTCTAGTCAGCTGGAAAGCGCTTTTCGGTTTCTAGTCAAGGCATCTATAGGTTGATATCCTGAAGTGAACACTGTAATACATTACATAATTCCATATCTTGTCATTCAAACATTTTGCTGAATGCATCTGTAAACAAACCAACTTGTCAAACACTTTCTCTTGAATGTTCGTGCTCACAGTCTTTCCTCATCAGATAAATTAAATTACTTAGAAATAAAAATATAGCTGATGCAACACACATCCAATATGCCCAACCAAATAAATTGTTTGCACTGTAATGAATATGAAAACTTTTCCATTCCATCCATTTCATTGGTAAATAAATCCGTTTCAGGTTTACAGTACTGACTACTGGAGATGAAGATTTAATTCTTTTATATTGCTCAATTATGTGCCTTCTGTGGTCGAATGATGGTGGATATGTAAATTTTTTCAAAGGGTACATAGTTCCCATTTCATATGGCAGGTGGCGGAGATAATCTGCTCAAACAGCCACTGAACTAAGAAGGTTTATGACTAAAAATAACAAATTACAATTGTAAATTAAATAAATAGTAACAAAATTATGTAGAAAATTTGAGTTTCATGTCATGACACCAGTACTTTTCAACAATCTAACTGCCAGTTTTAGATAGGAAATGTTTTACCACCAGGGATCTGACCTTGAAAAATAGTTGCACTAACATTTTCTAACCTGATTCTCAATTGTTGAACAGCTATAATGAGTGGTTTTTTGTTTCTTACAAGAATAAATACATTGATATACGAAACGGACAAATTTTGAAGAATGTGTAGTAGTGATAGTGATACGTGTTATAAATGAAAAAGCCAAACATCAAACATTTAATTCTCTTTGAAGTCAATATTTTTCAGGCTACTATTCAACATACTCTGTTCTAAATTTAAGTTCTCACTAAAACTATGAAAACAGGCAGGAGCATTAAAACGTTCTTAAAAATGCTTCCTCGTAATTATATAAAATAGCATACTTGTAAACCCCAAGTTAATTTTTATCTTAGTGACAAATTAAACGTGCATACAGTTATTGTCCTCGGATATCATCCTCCTTTTATTATGAAATGTACTATCGACAGAGATGTAGTAGGACACATATGGATTTTCTATCGTTAAACTTCATTTTTCATGTATACTAATAAAATTTATTTATTCTAACTAGTTTTCTTAATATTGCAGTAAGGAGGATTCGATGAAATTACGATTAAATATAAGTAAAAAAAATGCCCATTACTCAACTGTATCAACTACGGTGCATCGCATTCACAGTCTGCCTGCCATCTTTCACTGAAAGTTGATATATACGTCATTGACATAATGTTCACTTTGCTTTGAACGTACCGAGAATGCTGTATCAATGTGTTTTAACCAGTATCAAAATGTATGCATTATGGTTATGTTAAATGGAAAGCATGTATTTACAAAAAAAATATTAAATGCCGTTAACGCATGAGGTGATTTAAGCACAATACCGTCTTTAATAGTGGGTTTTTGCAAAAAAATTACGATCATATATCAGACTTTACTATTTATTGACATAATTGTTATTCTCCGTTGTTTTGTTGGATCTAATTGTTCGACGGTTAGAAGTGACTTATATGCATAGCACTGTGGTATTTTACATTCATTTATTAATATTCTCATTTCCACTGTGTCCTCCAGTTACTTCTCCTGTACTGTGATATATACATCACTCAGTCATCATACATTGCTTTGCCTTCTCTTGAGTCAAATTAATTCATTCAGAAGTTAAGGTCGAATGTAAACACACTATAAATAAATAATCTTTTCACTAAATATTTAAAAATTGCAGTAGCAGAAATCATACGCACTCAGCTACCTTGTATACATCCGTGTAGTGGGCAATGAACTATGCCTCTTGTGTAAGGGCTTGTGATACTGTCTGGATGTCAAAACCTCAGTAGGTGAAGCAGGGATGGAAACGGTGATTCAATGGTTGATAGTCACCTCCCTAAACCACTGAGTCACAGCTCCATGGATGAAATTTAATGTCTGGATAAAACTGAATTACCTTGTGCAATGCAATTCAGCTATTCCTTTCAAAATAAAACTTAACCCAATCAACTATTTACGTTTAAGACAATGATTGGAAAATACATTAGTATTTAGGTTTCTTTATTATATTCAGTCATTAAGTAGAATCAAAAGGGTTAAAAATTGGAAGTATTCTCCTAATCGACTAGGTTAAGTCACATTCCTAATAAATCCTTTCAGTATGAATGTCCTTCCAATTAGTTCCAAATTGAAAGCAAATCTTGAAGCCATTCTTAAGTGAAATTATTAAAGCTGATGGTACTTTGTGTTTTTGTCGCTTGAAATCATATTGAATGTCAAATTTTAATTATGCTAATCTTTATGACAGAAACAATTTTACCACTGAACGTTAATCACTGTTCACATGAACAGTTAGTAAACGTAGTGACTTTTGTGATCTATTATCAGTGTAGGCAACACATACTACCAAGAAAATGGATGTTTCTGGCACAAAACGGAAAGGGTGTGCAACTTTGTTCAAGGAGTGTCGTCCGAAGTTGATAGGAAGTCACTAACTATATTGGAGTGTATCAAAAAGTAAGTTGCTGTTAGAAGTACCTTAAGTCATTTGAAAACTTTTGTGCATCAACCTAATCACTGTTCAGCATACTATGCTTATCACTAATTTCATGTGAAGGAAATATTGCTGAATTAGAAATCAGTTTATGCCATGGTATTGAGAAAGTAAACGCAACCTACATTTTTAAAAAGGATTACACTCGACTGCCGTTGTGTCTTAACAAAAATGAGGACAGTAATTTGTTCTTATGATACAGTGAATTCGACATTCCTAACTTAAGGTAACGAAAAATGCGTTCCAAAAGTGAGACTTGATGGTGACATACCAGCATTGTCACACTGAGAATAAGTTAAAGCAGTCATTTTCTTATGTTCAGGCAGATCATTCTGATCGCATATATCATGAAATTAAGACTGGAGCGATGAAGGAATAACCATCTTTTTTCCAACTTTTTTTTTTAGGTTTTATCTATTTGCATATGGAGATATGAAGATGGCATGCTAATTATTTTTCTATGTTTATTTTTTGGTGTCTCATGAATCTGTTTACTTGTGTGAAAATTCGTTCTGAGAAAAGTAGTAAAAATATCTTATTTTCTTTGACTTACATCCAGCAATTAAACATACAAACTGAGCTGCTCTAAACCTCTTTGAGTTTTTCACATTGCAGAAACGTATTCTGACGATCCCAATACATGCTGAGATGACACTGCTCATTACCCCAACTACGGTAAGTAAACATGACGTTTCACATTTAGCTACAGATAATTTAAAAATGTAGTAAGGGTGTGAGAGTAATAACAACGGTTATTTAACAAAATTCAATATTTCATTATTTCTAATCAAAAACAGACAAAAATAAAAACTAAAATTGACAGTTTATATTTGTTAAGTCTCTATGATTCAATGGAAAGCTGAGACAATTCGTTTCTTCAGATTATGACCTAGAAAAAAGTCTTTAACGGTATGGTTACACTTAACAGATCCCACAAAATTTAATGAGATAAAAACAACAGATTTCTTGGAATACATTCCGTTAACCGTATTCAGTGGTTTTCTCTAAAGTTCCATACAAGTTTGGGCTTGCTAATCAATTTAGTAAGCAAAGAATGAAATACTTCACAATCCGGGTGAGCTTATAATGGAGTAAAAGTAAGGGGAATTAATTACGGCGTGAGAAATGGAATACAACATATCCAAAGCTTCGTGGGGTGATATTTGTGATTATGAAGTTATGATTGCAGTAAAAACTGGAAGATAATTGTGCAAGCAAAAGTTAAGTACATATGACTTTATTTCTCATCAGCACGTAAAACTCATGAAGAAAATGCAAAGTGATTAACTGTTAATTTGGTTTCAATGTAATTTATGGCTAACTAGTGATTCTTTGTACCTTCGTAAGACAAATTTGAAACCTCATGACAGAAGAAGCCGCTTAAAGTTCGTAGTGAACTTTAAGTGCACTATTCATCCCTTCTTTTGAAGGTATTATCTTTGGTGACCTTCGTTTTTTCCTCAATCAAAGATGCGTGATTGAAATGTTGGCGCCATTTTGTACTTTTATATATAGGCCGATTACCTTTCAAATTCATTAATTCGTTTGAAAAATAGGTGTAAATTAGTGGATGTAGTCTTAATGGAAATGAAATAAGTATTTTAGCACTTCCGTCTCAACAGTATTGGATACTGTGCAGTAGGTAGTCATTCTCTTTAGAACATCTTTCAACACGTTTTTATTTCAATGTTGAACATAATTTTGTAGATCTGAAATATGCTTTAAACAGTTCTTATCTGGTAATAATAAACAGTGTTGCAAATAACAAGTTTGCTTAGGACCATGAGAACCAGCTTTTTTGTGATAGATAACGAATCTTGCATCATAAGTATTTCGCAATTTAATTAGAGGCTAACAAGTACAGTGTTATTGTCATTGAAGAATCTAAAGTCAAGCATTTCATATAATAAAACTCCTTCTTAATTCCCTGCACAAATATATCTACAAGATACTTACCAAACTGCGTAAGGTGATATAAAGTCGTCCCATTTTCTACGTTAATGATACTACTAGTACTGATGCAAACTTCAAACGTTTGTCGATTCCCATTAGTGTAAAAAGTTAACGACAGGGTCTTGACAATACTTTAACTATTATTACTTACTTCAGAAAACTGAAATCGTTGAATTTTCGACTAGGACATGTTTAAATTGATATTTACTAATTTTTCCGGAAGTTTGGCATCTGATATAACTATCCATTATTTCTGACAGTTTATATATAGTTCATATCTGCTAACAGAAATACTATACTAGTAACATGCTCAGTTGTACTTTGAATAAAGATTTTTATAATCCTTGAAACTGAATTTACATTAACCACTCCAATAATTTGGAAGCATGTTGATAATTTTCACTACTTAGAATCAGCTTTTTCACCTAATTCAGTTTCATTGCCACATTTTATACTAGGAAGAACCTAAAAAACCTGAGTTTCCATCAGGGTGTCATAGGAATTCAGTCACAATTATCACACTTCACATGTTATCTTTTGTCATGAAATAAAAACGTTTAATACCTAAACAAGTAGTTTCGTGGGCCTTCGTGAAGAAGTATTCGTACTTACCATTATTTTAAAATTCATTAACGAAAGATAATTGTGCTTTTTTTAAATTATAGAAATCTACTCGGTTAGTTCATTGGTTGGTGGAGTGAAATTTAAGGTCAATAGTATTTAAGTAGTAAGTATTCCTAAATACTCCGGTTGTCTTTCATTTGGTTCTCCCGCCATTGTATTTACTTCGTAATACCTATCGTTTATCTTCATTTCAAACCTCTTTTCATTTACAATGATTCGGAGCGTAGACATATGTTATCGAACAGATCTTTAAATTAGGTATCCACCTTCTAATTCTCAAATAAAGTGTATGGCCAATCAAGCAAACGATTGTTACTGAAATGTAGTAAACAAAAGATAGGGTGGAAGGAGTTTGACAGGAAATGCAGGAATTGTTTCCAAAAGCAGAATCGTGTTGTTGTAGTAGACGACTTTCAAAATCATAATGGAAATGGCGTTTTTAAGAGTTTAAACAGTTAAGTTATCCTGTCATATAGAAACAAATAGGCAGTAAGAATCTACATTTTGATAGAATGAAAGTTTTCTGTGCCTTAAAAAGTTATAAGGACGACAATGTTGGTGAATATATTGAAGTTTCTTTATGGTATAATGTTGGCATTCACCGTGAACTGATATCAGTTGGAGAACCACTGAAAATCTCTGAGCGCTAGATATCTTTTGTGTTGTGGTTTGGCCCCATGGTAATGTTCTTGCAGCAGAACTTGAAGGTCCTGAGTACTACCCCTGACAGGATCATGGATGTGCACTTCTAAGGAGTCCTGTATTAGGACGAGACGTCTGTTCAGTGCTCCCAGTTTTTCGATGGTCCTCTGGCTGATATGAGTCAGTGATAAATACCAACATACAATCAATAAAATTCCCAAAAACCTGCAAATTGAATTTTTGTAGGTTGGTCGTTTTGATAAATTACATCCATGTAGTACAAATATGCAAGCTTAGGGGTTCAGCTACTTGAAACATATAATGAAAATCTTCCTGATGTCATTCTAGGAAATGTGTGAAAACAAGGCCTTGAGAATTTTCAAGAGTTTTGACAGTGAATTGTACTGATCTTTGTTACTACTCCGCCTAAAGCTCAACATTACATAAAATATATAGCTTAAATTTTGTTTAATTATGAGTTACCTTCATAAAAAACTGACTTTGACATTTCCATGAACTAGTATGTGAGACAAACCTCAAACGACAGTAATTAGTTAGAACCTATTAAAAAATAAAAACCAACAAATAAAAATGTACGTACTGATTGGGCATATTTACTCTCAAGCTGTTTTCGCTATTAAGTGAATATGAAGCATGAAGATTTAAGCACAAATAACGTAAGTATAAGCTAGAAAAAATTGTAGAATACCATGGCAATCTTTAATGAAGTTACAAATATTAAACCAGAACAAATGAGGCCTTTCAAACTATGAAACTGCTTACAGGATTTGCAAAACTGAGTAACAGATGTAAAATGGATGAACAAGCAGTGTATTATGACTGAGATGAGTTGAACGAATTTAGTGTAGACCTGAGGAATGAAGTTATGAAGTCTTAGTGTGGTAATACTGAAGATTCTGGAAAACGGAAACAAATGGAGTGTAAGAGTGAGGAAGAGACCATGAAGATAAGGTATATTTACGTTTAATTTAATGTTACCATCGAAAGTAGATTCGACATGTTTGTAATTTTAAGGTTTTAGTGTCAGAACGTGCATAAAATATTCAAAAGACGAATATATCGTTGTTATTCACTTATTTTGTTTCCTTGTGCAATAATGGAGTTAAACAATTTTGAACTTCTAATTGTGTAGCTTTTACAGATAAGTATATATATGGAACATTAAACTTTGCCGTCCTGGTTGACACCAAGAAAAGACGTTTCCTTCCTAGTTGACCACTTATACGGAGTGGAGATAAGCTTACTTATTTCTCCACTCAACTCATTCAGTTTTGACAGATTTCAAGCTGTCACTGACTGAGACCTTACACTGGCGCTTACAAACATATCGAGTCCATTCGCAACTGTATTAGTAACATGAACTTAAATATATCTTATTTTCATAGTCTCTTCCTTACTCTTACACTCCATTTGTTTCCGTTTTCCAGAATCTTCAGTATTACCACACTAAGACTTCATAACTTCATTCCTCAGGTCTACACTAAATTCGTTCAACTCATCTCAGTCATAATACACTGCTTGTTCATCCATTTTACATCTGTTACTCAGTTTTGCAAATCCTGTAAGCAGTTTCATAGTTTGAAAGGCCTCATTTGTTCTGGTTTAATGTTTGTAACTTCATTAGAGATTGCCATTTTTTTTATCACCGGAAACGTTTTATTTTTAATCAGCACTGACTCTTGAAAGCACTGTAAAGTAAACAATTATGAGATAATCAGTACAGTATTTTGAATATTTTTGCCTTTTAAGCTTAGATGTTATGATTAAGCTAAACCTATCAAAGGCCAGTCCTCATATCTTTGGTCACTGATACTTTTTTATTAACGGAACTTGTTTTACCACTTTCACCAACGAGGTCACAAAAGTGAGTTTTTTGAATAATAAATATATTATATGACAATATGTTTGAATATAGATGTCTCCTACAATAAACAAAACAAATGTTAGCCACTTACAGTCAATTAATTGCTACAATGTGCTCATGAAAAGTAAAATTTCATTGCTTTATTCAATGAAACTGTTGAAAGACAAAAGTTAAATAAGCAGTCTTAAATTTCAGGTTGCCAAGCATTACAATAAGTATTAATTGACCATACAGATGAAACAGCATAAAAAAGGACTCAGTTACCTCTACTCAACTAAAAATGACTGAGAATACGTTGCTCTCAAAAGAAAAATTGAACAAGTGAAGGATTACATTTGAAAAAGAGTGTTTATTTTAACACTTATTTGTTCATGGCAGTATTTTTCAATCATTACCATTTAAACCAAATTTTGTAATTTAAAAACGAGAAAGATAATACTTTGAAGTTTAAAATACATTATTTTACCTACGTTAACTTTTACCAGAAAGTCCGTAGCACTCAGTTTTCTTTCTATACTAAAATAAGAAGCTCTATATAGAAAAACGATATCCATTTATAAACAAGAAGTCTTATCCAGCCTATTACGGAGAAAGTTACCTCGGAATGGCGATTAAGTTTCTTCCAAATACTGATTTTTCGAACCAAGATTGTAAACAGTTTCTTAACATGCTTCCAAATGTGTAACACTTATTAATGCCCTATCAAATAATGATGTCATCAGCTGAGTCCAGATTGTAAGTAAAAATGTCACATGAACTTAATCAATTTTAAGGATTCCCATTGCACTGAAGCAGGCAATTCATTGCCAGTTTTGAGAATGCAGTAATTTCTCTGCAACAGGTTGCTTGCACACAAGAAGTTTTAGCATTCTGCTATTCGCTTCAAACAGATATATACAAATTAGTTTAAAGCTAGATTATGTGTCAAAATAACCACTCACTGTTCACTTGCGTAAAAAGTAGCGTACTCTTAGCATTCCAGCAAATATGTTTTCTAGGTTTACAGGCACCTGTTGATCAGCATACTTCGCTAGCTATCTGTGATAGAAATCAAACTCTTTACATATTATCTAGGCACTTTGAACTGTGTAAAGTGAAGTCTCTGCCCATTCTCAATGGCCTCAAAACGGTTACCTTGTGAATTGCTTCACAGTCATTCAGTTAAACGTAGACGTCTGTTTTCACGACATGTATGTCATATAGATTTTAGTACTTCAGTTTACTACCATTCATGGAATAAACAAAAGTATGCCTCATAAAATAAACTAAATTAACTCACAAACACCTAATTTTCAAAGTGTAAGACTAACGTAAACTGTAAGCAAAAATTATTGACTTACTGAAATTATCATAATGAGGATATGGATGAAGTTCCTCATAAAGCTTAGAAGATATCCAAGAACTTCTCACGCAAATGCTGATCAAAGCCAGTAAACCACCCATTCCGGTAAAAAGAAGAATCACTAACTCTACATAGAATATGTAATGATTATGGTTCGACATTTAGCATAATAAAAATGTAAATTCTTATGTATAACCCTAGTTCAAAACCCTCTTAATGGAATCAGAAGAGCTGCAAGCTATTTTTGTCACTGAAAACATTAAATTGTAACTGCTAAGATACAACAAAAACTTCTGTTGTTTTAACTACTTAAAGTGGAGTAGAGATTTGATTGGTTGATTTCCAGGCGAAAAATAAGTAGCCAGTTATTTTCAGACTAGAATGAAGCTGTAGATAATTTCGCTTATTAATTTATCTAAGTCAATTTCATGCAATCAGAAATGCACTCTGCAAATAGTCAGTATTGGGTTGGACAACAGCATATGTTGTGCTCACAATATCTAGAGGTTGGCGAAAACAATGACTGTTTCATATGTTTTCCATTCACTTCAACGGAAACATGAAATGCAGCTATCATTGATGATTGATGAACAGAGAAAAAAGGATAATGTAAAATTTCGACTGAATAGTGATTTCTGAATAGAAGGCAAAAGTGAAATATTGAACAAAGAATCTTTTCATCTTCCGGAGCATTCCGAATAAAATCTATGAGACAATTAATGCCTTATCACCGCTGAAACTGTGACTTCATTGTTGTCCCTTAGTGTTATTTCAACGAAAAAATCCTCGGAAGATAGGCTTCCAAAAAGCAGATTTCTCAGTTACCAAAGTGACAATTTACCTTCAGTCCTATAATGGATAGTTAGTTCGTGGCATATACCATAAATTGATCCCACTGTATTTTTTTGAGTCTCATAACTATTCACTATCGTTGCGTATTCTATCAACTAAATGTGTGGCGTTGGGTGAGGCAAATATTTTATTGAAAATGAATTGTCAGCACAGTAGGAAAATACAAGCTGTATTACACGCTTGTTTCACAGTAGCTAACCAACTTTATGGGTTCCGCTCATCATAGCGTTGCTTCTTTAAGATGAAGATCAGTGTGCAGATATCTTACAACATGCCTAAACACATTAAGTCTGTGTGACTTTAACAACACATTGACCTTAACCTGTAAACATACATATTATTTCATTAGTTATACCAATGACACCACGCAAAACATTTCTGTTATAGCCTGGCGTCTCATTTTATGTACATCTGTAGACTATTGCAACCTGAAATATTCAGTTGATTAAATCAAAGAGGAGTTTTGAGATTAATTTTAGTCAACAGACGTTATTTTTCACTTCTGTCGTTTGATTTCGAACTATGCGATTAGGTCTTCTGTAGAGAACGCCAAGATCCCATCGCATTTCATAAGGTCTTTATTTGACGTATACAAAATCAGATATGATAAGCAATGGCTGCATCAATACTTCCAGAAAAGTAATACGAAAACACAAATATATTTCAACCAAAATATGTTGTAAGCTGAAAACGTCAAGACTGTTGTGCATGAATAACCTCCTTCCTCCACGAAGCTTCAAAATGAACTGGATTTTTCTAAGAATTAAGTGAATCAAGAATACTCTAATCGATTAAGCATGCGTCATTTATCTGCTCTTCATGTACAGATTTTTTTCACAGCTTTCAAAAAACCAAACTGTATCCTTTATGACAAGCATTGTTATTTTCTTTACAAATTTAAGCTCTTTCATCAGATATATTTATATTTCAATTTTAATGTGAATCATCTTGATGAATTCAAAATGGAAACCGTCATTTTAAATTGGACAAAGGTGTCTTCATTTGGTTTGTGTGCGCACAAACATCCATATTAAAAAACACAGGTTAACTCTGGACAATTTTCATTCAAACAAGAAGATTGACAGAATGAAAGGAGTGCATTCTTTATTCTATGGCTCCTCTCTGGTCATCGTTACTGGGGATAGTACGAGGTAACACTATGAGATAAAAAACTAACACGCTTCAGCTGTGATAAACATCAAACAACACTGTTTGATAACAGATGTCATTCGAAAAGAAAAGAAAATACTTACGAAAAAAACATTGAGAAACATATGCATATGTATAAAATGGAAGTGGTCAGAAATTACCGAACTAATAATCAAATATTCACAATATATATGGACAAAAGGGCGGCTACAAGAAATCAAAATAGACGTATCAATGTATGAATATCAGTCGTAGAAATCAAAATCAGCCATAATTATTAGGAGAAAGAGTGTTGTAGTATGGTCACTTAAGAGATAAGTACGAAGATCAAGATAGCCGGATAACCAATTATCTTTCAACATAAAGTTGGGTCATTTTTTTCAGGTGACTGTGAAGCAGTAGGATAAAAAATAATGCAGTTTTCTGTTCACTTATTACTCTGAATGCTACAGACATATCCATTTATTGTCATACATCAATTTAATGCCGAATAACTGCACGAGAGAGTGATTGTCATTCAGTAGTCACTGATTCACTCTACATCAGCTATCTTAACCAAGTAGCTTTTCAGTTTTTCAAAATATTTATTTTAATCAGTGAATGTGAACTTGTAGAAGTAGCTTCGACGAATGTTGGGTAGGCATCTGTTTATTGTATACATGGTTTGAATGGGACTGTAAAGAGTATTACATTTAGTGGCTTAAAACATTTCTAACAGGAAAAATTAGTTTTTTCTACATTTTCTGAGGAATTTTCTTCTTTTAGTGCTAATAAATTAGAAATGGGTTTCTTTTTAAACTGTGAAACACGTTGTTTTTCTCCAGATTAATATTTACTCATGCTTACTGCCAAGTAGACTTTCTTCATGAACTCTTTCCCCCACTTTTATTTCATAGACTTCGTTTCTCTTACTTTGATAAAGATAAATTTATTTTGCATATGATGGTGTATTGGATAGATTTTAAAGCAACATGTATTTCAGAACAGGTTATGGGTTCTAAACTTATAACGAGAACACGACTTCTCCTGCCAAACAATAATAGGTTATTAGTGACTTGAAATTACTTCCAACTTTGCATTCACTGACTTAAAAAGTCTATACCAAATTAGTCTGTCTGTTATAAATATCTGGGCTATTTTATGAAACTTAACACTCTTTATTAGTCACTCTCTAGACTGCCTTTCTGGCTTTCAAGATAACACACACTACTCAGACAGTTATCGTGTTCCTAGAAATCATCTACTCCGTTTTCATTAAAGTCAATAAAATAAAAATTAGAAATTAATTTTAATGATCGGACCAATCATTTGGCAAACCAAGTACCGAAAGCAATTTTGTCGAAAATCCAGGTCATTTAAATTTATGAATAAATACCTTTTTGAAATTTATTTGATACTTTATATAATCCTACATATTTTTGACTGTTTTTAAAAAAGTAAATAATTAGAAATCTGATGTTAATTGGTTTGAAATAAATACAACCATTATTGAAAGCAGAAAATAACTCGATATAAGTTCATTAGAAGCAGCCAAGGCACAAAATTTTAAAAACATAGATGTTCAAATATTACAACACTGAGTATTAGGAGATAACTGTCATATTAGCAACATTGTTTCAAACTAAAAGACCTAAAGAAAAAATATTCGAGACTGGTCCATCTTCATAATGGCGTTTGTATCATTTTTATGAATTGTATTGATTACATTGATTAGTCATCTTCCTAAAAGAAACTGCTCCGAATGGTACTGATGAATCCACTCACAGAAAGCCAGGGAAAATCTTTGGTCAGAGGAAATACGAATTGCTCACTAGTAGTTATCTGTCCCCACATTTGAAACGATGTGGCTATGTTGACCCCTAAAGTTTTGGCCACTCGAAGGTACATAGAAAGGATTTCCCTCTGTGTATGATATTAGATATTTATACTTCAGCGGATTACTGCACGACTTATGTATAAAAAACCCCACTACATTCAGATACTCATCAGTTCTATCTGTATAGAGGAAACATAGATGACTTCTTCGTTGACCGTGAAGAAAAACTAATGTAGACGCTATATTACTGAAATTTAATTACCATAATCCCTAGATCAAGCCCGCAATGAAATTGCAGAGCAAATCAGGTCTTCATTTTCTTGATATTTCATTAAAGAAGGGAGTCCCTGGCTATCTAAACGGAAAAATCTCTTGAAACAGTGTACAAATCTTTAAATTTGGATACAGTCTAGTGATTTGAGAAAATATATTAACACACTTTGCATGAGAACAGAAGAAATTGGTACATACGTTTGAGAGTATGGCAAGTGCCTTGTCTTGTCTAAAGATCTAGCCTCATCATGGTAGTTGTTCATCAGACCCACTCGCTAACTTTTATTATTTGCAAATGATATTTTGTTGGGATTCGTTCATTTGAAAGTAGTTTTTATTAAGGATTTTAATCAGAGAACTATTATCCATACTAACGGAAACATAAGTGGAAAACGGATATCCACTGAAGTTCATAAACCGCTGCAAAAATCAGCGAGGATTCAAACCTGATCTGTACTCTGTTTCGAAGAAATGAGTTTACATCGCGTTACCATACAGAGGAGAATCTAACAGCATGATATTAAAACGAAGGTTAAGGTATGCTGTTAGCAAAACGTACTATGCAGCTAAGCTTATCACAGGTTGAGAAGACCAAATACCTGCTACAACCTAGACCTCAACGCTGTATAAACGATCGCGTCACATCCCACTGCGTTTACAAATTTACATGTGTGTGTGGACAAACATACATAGGGAGGACGAATCGTGATATGCACTTGAGGGTAGGGGAACATGTTCCAAAGTGGCTACGAAAGCAGCTGGATTCACAAACATTGATAAGCGCAGATGGCAGACAACCATCATCATCCATTGCGAAACATATCATTGATAAGAGTCACAGAATTGATATCAAAACAGCCTTTACAATTTTGTATAGAAACTGTCAGGGGCGTATACTTAAGTTTGTTGAGGCGCTAGCCATAAATAAATTTAACCCTCCATTGTGTGTGCAAAAACAGTTTGCCCTTACATTAAGCCTACCTTGGTAATGCTTATTTTATCGTATTATCA